ACGGACTGCTCTGTAGAGCGTGACAGGAGCTGAAGCGGAAAAACGACACACGCAGGAGATGAATTCTGCTCAACCTTCTATTGGGACGTTCCGCAGCGACCAATCAGAGAGCTTCAAAGTGGTCACAGGGACATTAGTGTCTGAACGAGCAGACTGAACATACTGTCAACAGCCAAAACAGGAGCTAAACCAGGGCTAAACCAGGACTAAGCCGGGACTAAGCCGGGACTAAGCCGGGACTAAGCCGGGACTAAGCCGGGACTAAGCCGGGACTAAGCCGGGACTAAGCCGGGACTAAGCCGGGACTAAGCCGGGACTAAGCCGGGACTAAGCCGGGACTAAGCCGGGACTAAGCCGGGACTAAGCCAGGACTAAGCCAGGACTAAGCCAGGACTAAGCCAGGACTAAACCAGGACTGACAATGGGGGACATAGTGCTTGTGACCTTATGCAACTGCTTCGAGTGTGTTCGCACCTCCGTGAACACATACTACTGTTATATAAAGTCTGTGGAAGGTCTCTGAGCAAAGACACGCTGCAAAGCTGCATATTGGAGCAGAACTTAACACAAGCCGCTGCTAGCTAAAATCTGTTAGCATCATAGCCCGCCGGCTACTTCCGCCTCACGCCAGGACTTCTCGGTCTGAAGACTGCTGCGTCTGAAAACTGGAGAATGTGCGTCTGGTGAGCGAGGCTTCAGCGTTCCAGCGTTGGCGGTCTGAAAGCCCCATAAAACCTTGTGGTGCCTTTAAATGTATTGTTAATTCTGGTAAAAAAAACTGTTTATTGTTAAAATACAGAAGTTTTCACACTGTTTCCTTATGTAGGAAAAGTGCTCTACAGATAAAGTTTGATTGATTGATCATGAAAAAGAAGAATCAGTAAAAAGCAGCAGCAGCTTCGGCAGCAGCAGCATCAGGAGGAGGAGGAGCAGGAACAGCATCAGCAGGAGCTTCAGCAGCAGGAGCATCAGCAGCAGGAGCATCAGCAGGAGCTTCAGCAGCAGGAGCAGAATCAGCAGGAGCTTCAGCAGCAGGAGCATCAGCAGGAGCTTCAGCAGCAGGAGCAGCATCAGCAGAAGCTTCAGCAGCAGCAGGAGCAGCATCAGCAGAAGCTTCAGCAGCAGCAGGAGCATCAGCAGAAGCAGGAGACAACTTGATGTTTTTCAACGTTGATTGTTTGGTTTGGATTTGAGATGATCCAGATTAACCAGAATCTGGTTACCAGATTAATCAGTTCAAATAAAGATTATAGATTATTTATCTTTTCTATAATGTTCTTTGATGAGACTTTTCATCGTAAAGACGTTAATTTGAACAGTTTCAGGTTTTCTGTGTGTTTGATTTTAATTCAAACTGAGAGACAGGTTTGGGGTACACTGACTTAAACTGTGCTTATGTGAGACTTCAAAATTAGAATCGAAATATTTATACAGTACTATATATATATATATATATTTATTATTATTATTCTTTATCCTTCTCTCCTTTTGACCTGTTTCCACCGAGATCCAAAGCAGTTTCTGAGTCTGTGACTTCCTGTTTCTTACATGGCAATAAACATGATTCTGATTCTGATATTTATATTATACGTTTATATTTCTGTACAGCCCAGTATCACGAAAGCAGTCCCTGGATTCGAGAGCCATCTGGCTGCAGACCCCCCCCCCCCCCCCCCCCTCCCTCGCAGACCTCCCTGTTCAGCCCCTGTCACGTGACCTCCTTCAGGAGGCCCTGTCACGTGACCTCCTTCAGGAGGCCCTGTCACGTGACCTCCTTCAGGAGGCCCTGTCACGTGACCTCCTTCAGGAGGCCCTGTCACGTGACCTCCTTCAGGAGCCCCTGTCACGTGATCTTCGCCATGAGCTACTGTTACGTCACTTCTCTGGGACTTGAAAACGTTTTTCTTCACAAAGTCATAAAGCTTATCTTTAACATATATTATATATTATGTAACAAACAAAAATAGTGACGTTTGTTCCACAAATTGTGACTGGTATTATGTATATGAGCCATCGCTGTTTTCATCTGGGCATTTGGGATGCCAAAGGACAATTCTGGCAGCTGCTAGGCAAGGCAGGCAGCTGCCTGGGGCCCCTGAGAACCGACTGATTTGACACAAGCGGTCGACTTCTACAAGCCACAACAGCTACCTGCAGTGACAATTTGGCGGTTAAAACTTTTCGTCTGATGCGAAACTTGCCCCGTTCTTTATTAACAGTTAAACCCTTTCTGGGGACCTCTCTGTATCGTCAGTGCAGGTGGTCTAGTGATTAAGACGCAGTGCTCCAAATACAGTGGCCCAGGTTCAAACCCGGATATGAGCAGCTTTTTGGATAAAACCATATATTATATTAAAGGACAGATTGCTCAAGAACGGTAGAAGATAGAAAGCTAAGAGCCTAATCTTTAATTTAGACTTTATAAACACTGAGGGCCAAATGAAAGATTAGATGAATACACATTGATAGGTAGTTTTGTAATTAATTCCAACATGATGAGTGCAGTGAACAAGCGTATAAAAGACTTGCTAAATATTTTCTCATTGCTTTTGTCATGATAAGTTCTGAAGTATTCACAATGTTCTATGGTAGAGTACAGTCTGCCAGGCCCCAGGCCTGTCCATTTATTGTAAAAAATAAGAAATGATCTACATTTAATTTACATGAATGTAAACAAAAAATAGATATTGCATTTTACCTTATTTATAAATATATATTTATACCTACTGTAATATAAACCTATTTATGTGGTTATGTGGTCTGTATCGGGGCCCCCAAGGACTCTGTTGCCTGGGGCCCCGGGGTACCCTTGGAACGCCTCTGATCAACACATTCAACAGAAAAGAGTTCAGTGTCCTCAATCCGAGAGAAGACAAACTTGAAGGGCTCCAAGATGTTCTCTGCTCCTCACTGTCCGGGTCTATATTACTATAATAAAGCCTTGCCATGGTAACTCCATATATATTGTCTTTTCGACTTTTTTTCATGTTCTATCTCATGGGTGACGTGTAGGTGGCGCTCTTGTAAACAAACAAAAAAATGTAAACAAACAACAGAATTGTCCTTTGGCATCCCAAATGCCCAGATGAAAACAGCAATGGCTCATATACATAATACCAGTCACAGTTTGTGGAACAAACGTCACTATTTTTGTTTGTTACATAATATATAATACATGTTAAATATAAGCTTTATAAAGAAAAACGTTTTCAAGTCCCAGAGAAGTGACGTAACAGCAGCTCATGGCGAAGGTCACGTAACTGGGGCTCCTGAAGGAGGTCACGTGACAGGGGCTGAACAGGGAGGTCTGCGAGGGGGGGGAGTCTGCAGCCCAGTGGCGGAGCCAGAGGGGTAGCCAGGGTGGCCACTGCCACCTCTAAAAATACCCTTGCCACCCCCAGTGCCCCCCTCGGAAGACGGCAATGTAATAATGTTAATCTTGAGAATCTTCCGCACTTTTTCCGCCAAAAGCTAAAAATTCCCACGGTTTCCCCCGTCTGTGAACGCACCTTGACTCCGTGTGGAGCCGGTGCTGTATGCTAATGTTTTGGGTTGTTGGACTCAGGTGTGCCCAAGTCGTGATGAAAACAAAGAGGTAAGTTAGCGATGCAGAGCCAACCGTTTACATTTGACACAAAGTATAGACACACGTACTGCAGCATTACTTGTTCAGTTTGTAGAACTTTTAGTGTGTGTATCGGTGTGTGCGTATGCGTGCCTGTATGCGCGCCTGTGTGCGTGTGTCAGCGTGCCATTGTGTCTGCGTGTGTGTGCGTGCCTGTGTGTGCCAGTGTGGGTCTGCGTACCTGTGTACGTGTGTGCGTGCCTGTGTGTGTGTGTGTGTGCGTGCGGGGTGCATGCGTGTGTATTTTCCATTATTAATTGCCCATCGTATCATCGCCCTCTTCCCTTTAGTGTAAACATGAAAAGAAAAGGAGGAAACATTGCCTACAGGCCTTTTTTTGTTAGGAAAAGTCCTGTAGATCAGGATGATGAAACCTGAAGGTCAGACTCGGAGGCAGTATGTTTTGAGATGATGAGGAATTTGTTGTGTTGTATTAAAATATAGCTTATATAATTGAGTTTCAGAGAATGAGAGGGAGTCGCAGACAGGTGCAGGATTGTCTATTGGCAGAAGGCGTTTTTTCACACACAAAAAAAGAAAAAAAATAGCTAAGATTATGGATGGAGTGCAGTCGCTTAACCCCAAAATATTTTTGAAAGAAGAGCCCCTGTTTTCATTTGGCAGAACCTTTGAGTCAGATATAGAGGACCTTAAGCATGAGGTACGTCAAACTAGGCGGCTTCTTGGGAGGAAAAAATGGATTAGAGAGTCCCTATTGGACTTCCTTGTCCTTTTGGAACGTTTGGAAAGTGTTTCATGAGCTTTTGAGGCTTGCAAAGATCTTTTAAATACCTGTCAGTACTGCGTCTTGTGAAATAAGTTTCTCTGCCCTAAAACTTATTAAAAACCATCTCAGAACGACCATGGCAGATGATTGAGTCCTCTTGGTATCCTCAGTGTAGGGTAAAGGAAGGCTCAGGGCTGAATATGGATGAGTTTGTCAACATCTTTGCTGCTTTACACCAGAACCGTAGGAATTTTCTAAATTTGTTAAAAGAAAAATGTCATGCAATGTTTGAATGTTATTTTGCACTTTTTAGTTCAGACTACTATTTAAATACACTTTTTTGCTTTGTAGTTTCCAAGTGTGCTCTCAGTTCACTTTATATTACAAATAATGACAAGATTAATATTAAAATGTATCGTTTAGCCAGTTTTTGTATGAAATAAAATTTCGGAATAGTATAAATGTGGACCCCTTAAAAAAAACCTTGCCACCCCCTGGCCCCCCTCTGTTTAAAAGTCTGGCTCCGCCACTGCTGCAGCCAGACTCTCTTGCAGATTCTCCAATTGCCAACAGCAGATTCGAAAAGCAAACCATTAGGATACTTAGGAGAGAGGATTTACAACGTCCGTTGTGTCCTGGATCGTCACCGCCCTCAGACCTTCCTGCAGGGGGCGCCAGAGTCCTCAGGGACCGAGGGGTTCTTCTCTCCCAGGGACCAGCTGTAGATCCAGGACTGAGTTCACACCGAGTTCACTCCACGGACCAATCAATGCGCCCTAAAAGATTTATTTAAACAAAAAGTATCGTTGGACTAAAACTGGTTCTTTCTTTTTGTTCAATTGTGTTTCATTTTTAACAAGTGTTTCACAAGGGGAGAAAACAAACAACACAACAACAAAAACAAAAAAATTAATGAATAAAAAGTAAATATTTACCGGTCTACACGTGTTGAATTAGTTCCAATTGTTCCATGAAACTTCTCTTTTGATATAAAACACTTTGTCTCTTTACTTTCATCCAATTACAACCTGACACGTGCTACAGTCACGTGACCTCGACATTTCGGGCTTCAACCACAGTGTGTAAATATTGGGTTTTAGGGTTCGGCTCCAACATTCCATCCCGAGCGCACTACGAGCCGAGCCGCGTTCAAACACCCATTTTCCGAGTGGGATTTCCGGGCTCCCTGCGTTCTCCCGAGACCACGACAGCGCTATACATGGCACGTCCCTGTTATTTACATTGGACTGTCCGAGGTCCGTGAACGCGGCTCAGTGACGTGCGCGCTCCTGTTTGGAGGACGTCTTCTTTGTGGTTAGCTCCGTGCTAAAGCTAAAGGCTTTTAAACATGTCCGTGAAGCAGGAGCGGCTGTCGGCGGCGGAGTGTGAGGGGGACGGGGGTGAGTCTGCGGAGAAGAGGAACCATGAGGAGAGAGCCAGGATTAAAGAAGAACTGTACGTACTGGACACACGCACGCACACACACACACACATACACATGCATGCACACGCACACACACACACACACACACACACACATAGCTGCAACACACACGCGCACACATGTATTCCTTCATTTTCCTTAAAAAAATCAACCAATTTCTATGCACCAACAAACGAATTATATATTTCTCCCTGCGCACAAGGTTAAGGCTGCAGTGTTGTCCTTGTAGGGAAGTGTGTCCTCTGCATTTGACCCAGCCCCCCACACCACAGACCACACCAGGACAGACCAGACCAGGACAGACCTGTCAGGAGCACAGGGACCACCTCCTGCTGTCCACGTTCACGGTCAAACCCAGAGCTGTAGCCCCCGGAGGAAACCCACCCAGACACAAGGACAAAACATGCAAAAAGACACAGTGCAGGCAGCTGGGAATCGAACCCACAACCGTCCTGCGTGGAAGTTAGAGATGAGTGATTAGGGAAAGATGTGTGTTTGATCAAAGTGAGTTGGGGAAAAGAAAAATGGCAGGTCTTTCTCTTTTGGGTCGAACTTTGTCACATATTTCCTGTGGAGGATGGTGGAGTCCTGGGAGGAGGCAGGAAACGCGAGGCGCTCCCTGCGAAGAAAAATAAACCCCAGAAAGTCAGGAAGGAAATTCAAGGACTGCCTCGGCTTTTAGGCAAGGCGAGTTTAATTGTATAGCACAGTTCATAACAAGGCAGCTCAGGAATGCAGAACAAAACCAGATGGAGACACACAAGGCATTAAAAAGAGAAATGATACAGTCCTTCAGTTGTTGCAGCAAAACAGTTTTTAACCCGGATTTAAACATTGTCAGAGAAGAAGCTGTCTCGCATTTTCAGGAAGACTTTCAGGAGATTTTAGCTTCATGAATCTGAAAGGCTGCCTCCGTATGTGTAGTTTTAAATGACACTTTTTAAATGAACTCCAAATATTTAATGTGTGGATTGCTGTTTGTCTGCACGATTCTAGCTTAACAATTTTGGTGAAAAAAGGGCAAGGCAAGTTTATTTGTATGGCACAATTCATAGACATTCAAACTCAAAGTGCTGAACAAAATAAGAGCATTAAAATAATCACAGTACATTAAAAATAAAGAAAAAAATATAAAATCCCTCAGTTGTATGCACAACTAAACAGGATTGTTTTTAACCTGGTTTTAAACATTGTCAGAGAGGAGGCCTGTCTCACATCTTCAGGAAGAATGTTCCAGATTTTAGCAGCATGAATCTGAAAAGCAGCCTCCCCATGTTTAGTTCTGACTCTGGGCACTAACAGGAGTCCAGTCCCTGTGCTCCTCAGAGTCCCAGCAGGAGTCCAGTCCCTGTGCTCCTCAGAGTCCCAGCAGGAGTCCAGTCCCTGTGCTCCTCAGAGTCCCAGCAGGAGTCCAGTCCCTGTGCTCCTCAGAGTCCCAGCAGGAGTCCAGTCCCTGTGCTCCTCAGAGTCCCAGCAGGAGTCCAGTCCCTGTGCTCCTCAGAGTCCCAGCAGGAGTCCAGTCCCTGTGCTCCTCAGAGTCCCAGCAGGAGTCCAGTCCCTGTGCTCCTCAGAGTCCCAGCAGGAGTCCAGTCCCTGTGCTCCTCAGAGTCCCAGCAGGAGTCCAGTCCCTGTGCTCCTCAGAGTCCCAGCAGGAGTCCAGTCCCTGTGCTCCTCAGAGTCCCAGCAGGAGTCCAGTCCCTGTGCTCCTCAGAGTCCCAGCAGGAGTCCAGTCCCTGTGCTCCTCAGAGTCCCAGCAGGAGTCCAGTCCCTGTGCTCCTCAGAGTCCCAGCAGGAGTCCAGTCCCTGTGCTCCTCAGAGTCCCAGCAGGAGTCCAGTCCCTGTGCTCCTCAGAGTCCCAGCAGGAGTCCAGTCCCTGTGCTCCTCAGAGTCCCAGCAGGAGTCCAGTCCCTGTGCTCCTCAGAGTCCCAGCAGGAGTCCAGTCCCTGTGCTCCTCAGAGTCCCAGCAGGAGTCCAGTCCCTGTGCTCCTCAGAGTCCCAGCAGGAGTCCAGTCCCTGTGCTCCTCAGAGTCCCAGCAGGAGTCCAGTCCCTGTGCTCCTCAGAGTCCCAGCAGGAGTCCAGTCCCTGTGCTCCTCAGAGTCCCAGCAGGAGTCCAGTCCCTGTGCTCCTCAGAGTCCCAGCAGGAGTCCAGTCCCTGTGCTCCTCAGAGTCCCAGCAGGAGTCCAGTCCCTGTGCTCCTCAGAGTCCCAGCAGGAATCCAGTCCCTGTGCTCCTCAGAGTCCAGTCCCTGTGCTCCTCAGAGTCCAGTCCCTGTGCTCCTCAGAGTCCAGTCCCTGTGCTCCTCAGAGTCCAGTCCCTGTGCTCCTCAGAGTCCAGTCCCTGTGCTCCTCAGAGTCCCAGCAGGAGTCCAGTCCCTGTGCTCCTCAGAGTCCCAGCAGGAGTCCAGTCCCTGTGCTCCTCAGAGTCCCAGCAGGAGTCCAGTCCCTGTGCTCCTCAGAGTCCGGGCTGGTTCATATGGGACTAACATGTCACTAATATATTTTGGTGCGAGGCCATGGAGAGACTTGTAACAAGCAGAGCTGTTTTAAAGTCTATTCTCTGAGCCACAGGAAGCCAGTGCAGAGACCTGAGGACTGGACTAATGTGGTCGTACTTCCTGGTCGTACTTCCTGGTTCTAGTCAGGACTAATATGGTCGTACTTCCTGGTTCTAGTCAGGACTAATATGGTCGTACTTCCTGGTTCTAGTCAGGACTCAAGCTGCTGCATTTTGAATGTACTGCAGCTGTTTTACAGCCTGTTTGGACAGACCTGTGAGAATTTTATTTAGCCCTTAAATATTTATTTTGCATTTGATTTGATTCAGGACTTCTTGTTAAATTGTGTTTGGAGAAGAGTCTGACAAAATTATAATATATTTAAGTACGTTTGTATTTTGTCCCAGTCATTGTCAGCGTCAATCAAAATCAATAAGTTACACTGCTTACATCACGCAGCAACAAAGTGTGTCCTGCTGTTGTTTGCTAAAGGTGTTTGGAGGTTACAAACAAATAATACCTGCTTTAAAATGAAACGTGGTTAATATCCACAACTGAAAAACCTGGAGGGGGAGAAAAGTCACATGTCAGAGGTCAGGCTGATGGTGCGAAGAGAGGGAGAGAGGGCAGCAGAGAACACCGCAGTAAAGAGGCCCAGCTTTTCGGAGTCAGCGGTAAAGAGGTCCGCACATTAAAAGCGGGTGGCCACTTTATGCTGCTACTTTCGGTAACGTTGGAAAGAGAAGCTGCGGGGATGAGCTGCCACAATGCACTTTTTTACATAAGTAACAGCATAAAGCGGCCACCCGCTCCTATTGTGCGGACCTCTTTACCGCTGACTTCGAAAAGCCGGGTCTCTTTACCTCTGCTAAGGAGGGAGCCCACCAAGCCCATCACTGTGTCACTAGGCGAGTAAAAATATGCAAGCCTCCTTTTTGGGCTAGAGTGCGCAGCTCGGTAGTGGCTCTATAGTCTCTTTAAAGAGTTACTCCGAATCAAGTAAATACGTGCTCATTTCATGTGACTGGAAGGGCTGTTGAGGAGGTGGTGGGGGAGCAGCGCATTTATCGTGGGGGTTGCGGGGTAAAAACTTTGGCAACCCCTGGTCTAACCTACTGGAGACAAATGCATGGATAAGAATCTCCAAGTCTGCTTTAGACACTATGTTTTTGATCCTGGCAATGTTTTTTAGATGGTAAAAAGCTGCTGATGTTACTGATTTGATGTGGCTATTAAAATTTAAGTCTGAGTCCAGTATTACCCCTAGATTTCTGACCTTGTTTGAAGGTTTTAGGGAGAGAGACTGGAGGTGACAGATGACGCTCTCTCTTTGTTTCTGGGGACCAAAGACAATCATTTCAGTTTTGTCTGCGTTTAGCTGAAGGAAGTTGTTTTGCATCCACTCACTGATCTGTTGGATACAGTGAAGGAGTGAGTCCACTGGTCCATGTTCTCCTGCAGTCAGTGAGACATAGATCTGAGTGTCGTCTGCATAGTTATGATAGGACACTTTGTTTCTGCGTATTAACTGACCTAACGGCAGCATGTAGAGATTGAACAGAAGAGGTCCCAGGATCGACCCCTTTGGTACTCCACAGGTCAGGGCCATATGATCTGAGACACAGTTTCCAATCTCCACAAAGTACTTCCTGTCCTCAAGGTAAGACCTAAACCAACTTAGGGCATATGGAAGACTATTGGCACCTTAATTCAATTGTCTATTCATTTGTCAAATGGCTATGCATTATGTTATTTTAGTATTTATTTTGTATTTGTATTTGTCAAAGTGTAATGTTATATCCAATTTTGACATTTAATGTTCTATTCCAAAAGTTCTAATGGCAATTCAATATGTAAAGTGTCGATACAATGGGCCTCATTCACGAACCGTACTTAAGAACAAATTTGTGCGTAAATCCTACTTACGAAGATTTTACGAAGATTGTGGCATTCATGACATTTTTTTGTAACCAGAATTTCTCTTGCCTAAGTACAAATCCTACAAATGCCCAGGAGCACTCGTACGCACACTCAGTGCCGACACGTTCGCACGCTGGTGTCATGAAGTTCAATAAAACACAACATTACAGTGATATGTCCGTCATAAATATGTACGTATTTATTTATTTAATTGTTAATGGTAATTTAGCCTATTTTTTTATTCATTTTGAAATGAAATGTGCCAACACTTTATCAAATACATTGGAAATCTTGCCGTGTATTAGTGACCCTTCCTATTTATTGGGGGCATTTCTTTATCCACGGGCCACAGAACAATGGCATATATACTGCTGCTGCAGGTTGCGGGGTCCGCGCTGAGTCTCTGCGCTGGCGTCTCCCATGGATCTATACAATACAATACAATACAATTTATTCTTGTACAGCCCTCGGTCACAACAGAAGTAATCTCAGAGGACTTAACAAAACCTTTGAAATCACCAACACCAGAGAAGTCTGGTCTATGCGG